CAAAGTTAGAACCGCGACTTTTTCCCGGATTGTGATGTATATATATAACAGGGGTCTCGAGTAGTCGATCTGTCACGGACGAAAGAGGTTGCTACCGTGGTTGTAGACGAAGCAGAAGACTCAAGGATTCCGGATTAGTCGTTTATTGTACGGCAACTCCAATTTAAAACGGCATAACAGATTACATCACTAAAGAACTAGAACACGACCGACCTCTAGCCCGCCGACGGAAAAAAGAGAGATCGAAAAACAGCTTTTGCCTCGCATGTAGTGAGTGGTCGGAAACCAAATCCGACATAACAGCATTAAACAAGGGTCAACATAACAGTCTATAAATATATATATATATATACACACACAATATAAACACGGACACTTTAGTCCGCGACAGATCACGTCTGATGTTGAGTAAATTTAATAACACAGCCCAGAAAATTGCCTTGAACCGGTTTCATACCGTCCTTGTTGAGTGTTTTAAAACAGGAAGAATATAGTACACTGTACAGTACATGCGCAAAATACGATATATATACATATGCAGTAATTGGATATGGACAAGCCCGATATAGCATATTATTACGTAACAAATGCAAGTTTCGCTACTGCCAAGTTTTAGAAATGAACTTGCGGAATATCGTGTGTCTTGACTGGCAAACGATTCGACAGTAATTTCTGCACTGTGCAAAATTTATTGTCTCACTCGGAGAGTAGTGTCATAAATTTTATTCACAACGGTAGCATTGGCATCAGAATGCCCAATTTATTCTAAGGCCAAGCGAGCTAAGAATCGGAATCGGAAAAACTGTAAATTAGATACTGAAGTTTGAGCAGTCATGTAACATTTATAGTTTGCGAATGTTCATTATACGCTGTTTAAATAATACATGAATACTTTTCAAGTTTTTTTGAGAAATCGAAAACACTTACGACTAAAAATTAGACAGGCCCTAGATCTGAATCGGTATGTTAGTCGTTGCTCTGAATGAATCTTAAATAAATGGTGAAACATTTATTTCTGGTACAATTATATAATCAAATTAACAAATTGAATGGAGTATAAAAATTGCAAATTTTTGTGGCAATTTCATCGAGAATGCGCGTGTGTAGCAAAGGCGTAGCCAGCCCAAAATTTTGGTGGGGGCCAAATATTGTAATTTCAAGCAATGATATTGGGTTTGAGACATCACTTCTTTGAGCAGAAAAAGACCACATTTTTAAGGCTTAGAAGTAGTGCTAGGTAAAACCCGTGCATCCACAGTCCGAGTAGGGCTTTTTGATGTTTGTAAAGTAAGCGAGTCTTATCCGAAAACTAACTCAGCAGCCTGTGCCAAAAAACTGCCATGAGTTACGAATGATGAGACGATTGTGACGTAACAATGCAATGTAATCACTAATCAGCAAGCGTAGCGAGCAGGACTGCGACCGAATAGTAAATGTCACAAAAACTTGTTGATTAATAATTAAAATCTTGGAAATTTGGGAGAGGCCATGGCCCCTCTCCCCCCCCCCCCTCAACCACCCGCTAAAAACGCTTCTTCAGGCATTGCAAATCGCAAATTTTCGTATGCTGAAATCGAAACACAGTCGATGTGCGCGGGATTTACCTATTTATTCATTCCTTTAAATTGCAGTCGAGAATTTTCGTGTTAACATAATACAAGGTTAGAAACGCGACTTTTTCCCGGATTGTGATGATATATAACAGGGGTCTCGAGTAGTCGATCTGTCACGACGGACGAAAGAGGTTGCTACCGTGGTTGTAGATGAATCAGAAGACTCAATGATTCCGGATTAGTCGTTTATTGTACGACAACTCCAATTTAAAACGGCATAACAGATTACATCACTAAAGAACTAGAACACGACCGACCTCTAGCCCGCCGGCCGGAAAAAAAGAGTGATCGAAAGACAGCTTTTGCCTCACATGTAGTGAGTGGTCGGAAACCAAATCCGACAAAACAGCATTAAATATGGGTCAATATACACACAATATAAACACGAACACTTTAGTCCGCGACAGATCACGTCTGATGTTGAGTAAATTTAATAACACAGCCCAGAAAATTTCCTTGAACCGGTTTCATACCGTCCCTGTTGAGTGTTTTAAAACAGGAAGAATATAGTACACTGTACAGTACATGCGCAAAATACGATATATATACATATGCAGTAATTGGATATGGACAAGCCCGATATTATTACGTAACAAATGCAAGTTTCGCTACTGCCCAGTTTTAGAAAAGAACTTGCGGAATATCGTGTGTCTTGACTGGCAAACGATTCGACAGTAATGTCTGCACTGTGCAAAATTTATTGTCTCACTCGGAGAGTAGTGTCATAAATTTTATTCACAACGGTAGCATTGGCATCAGAATGCCCAATTTATTCTAATTCCAAGCGAGCAAAGAATCGGAAAAACTGTAAATTAGATACTGAAGTTTGAGCAGTCATGTAACATTTATAGTTTGCGAATGTTCAATATACGCTGTTTAAATAATACATGGATACTTTTCACGTTTTTTGGAGAAATCGAAATATAAAAATTAGACAGGCCCTAATTCTGAATAAATTTGAAATAAATGATGAAACATTTACTCCGGGTACAATTATATAATCAAACTAACAAATTGAATGGAGTATAAAAACTGCAAATTTTTATGGCAATTTCATCGAGAATGCGCCCGCAGAGTCGAGATTATTGAAAGCGGTGGAATTTTTGCATGCGCGTGTGTTGTTATCTGCGTATGCAGTATTCAATCATTTTGTGTAGGACCGTATTACCAGTCGATCGCAAGTTATTTTGGAAATTTTCGTCGATCGCGGTCGGAAGCAGGTTGGCCACCCCTGATATATATATAAGATAATCAATCTAATCTAAAGTATATTCAATCAATTTACGCCGTGAGATTTTATAACAAACCTAAGGATTTTTCTAACTTTCATATCTTGAAAATAATCCGAGCGGCAGATTTGTCGAATTTGCAAAATGACATGCATGGCATTTCCGCATTGGGGATACATTTATTTTGTTGACGCAGCCGCAGGTGAAATTGAAGACAATTAAATTAATAAAGCAAGACATTTTGAATATGCATGGATTTATTTCTTTGCGCAACGCAAAATTAAACGTTGAAAATAACGCTTTATTCAATTAACAACCGGCGTAATTGCGCGTTATAGATTCTTGTTGTTGTCAAGGATTTAATATTTTACGCGACAGAAAAGTCATTATACGCTGAAAAGTCGGCTCTTTTAACAAACGCGTAATCGCAGCGACTGTTCTAGAAGGAAATGGGAATTTCCGATTTTAAACCCCTCTTTTGAAAATCCTGGCTGCGCCCCTGCATGTGCATCGACGAATATACCCAGTTTTCGACAAACTAGTGGTGCAAGTTCAGGGACAAACAAGGCTTCCATTGAAATTTGTAAATGTGGTTAATAAACTGACTTCGTTAAAATTCTGTTGTGTTTGGTTTAATTGCCTTTTCACAAAGATTTCGGTTACAATTAATGCATTATGAGTCTGCAAAGATTTTCACCTGTGAGAAAATAGCCCGCGACCAAAAAGGGTGGGGAACGCTGGATCATTAGTTAGGTATTTATTTTCGGAAGCATGAACTTGATGGTAGAGGAAGCCGTAACCGACCATCGGTTACGTGAACCACCATACGGCGGCGAGGAGTCCAGCTATCCTCTCGCACATAACTGTCCTCGCATGGGATTCGAACGTGCGAACCCACGCAGAGTAATCAGAGGTGCGGTGGCGAGCGTATTCATAAGCCTTAGCCTCAACACGATGAGCCATGTTAATAGGTGTCGTAAGATTCTGGGTGTGTACAGAAAGATTCTAAGGGTTCATTTGCCAAAAAAGTTAATCTGTTTAGCTTGCATTTATTCGTTTATTTTCCACTACCGGTAGCTGATCGGTGCATCAGCTCACAGCAGATCAAAATTGATGCGCGGGCATGAAAATCACCAGGGATGAGAATCTCGCTGCGCGAACAATCCTTGTGTTTTGTTTTTGCTGTTCACAAATCACCGTGAACAACCGACTATTTAGAGCTGAAGTTTACGAACGAAATTTACTATTTCGATAATTAAGTTCAAGCACGATAACAACTTCGATGGAAGAACTTTAGCGCTAAGAGCGAATCTGCGTGCGCATCTATCCTAAACATTATAAGACGTCGCAGTGATAAGAAAAAAGACGTTTTTTACCACGGAATACCTCACCACGATGACGACAGCTTCAACAAAAAGATATACCCCATCTCAACTAAGGACTCCTTTAGGTCAAATAAAAAATGCAGAAAAAAGAAATTTGGTGAAGAATGTACCTGTAAGACCATCGCGTACCACAGTTTGGGAATCACTGATCTACATGAATCAACTAGTAATAGTAAATAACACAGATTTTTGTGCAATTTATGTATGATTTTAGACGCACACAAATCTCCCAACGACATGCCTCAAAAATGTCCCTTCAGGGACTTGTTTTAATTATCAATATTATTTGTATGAATATCACTGCATATGAATACTCTAACCCAGTGCTTCTCAAACTGTGGGGTGCGCCACATACGGAGGGCGTATACACTTTTTGGAGAAGACGTGAAGCCAAATAAAAATATTACTTAGATCTGATCTTGCCCGCCTTATTTCGTATATTTAAATTTCAAAACTTTCCATTTATTTCAATATTTATGTTCCATCCACGTATTTTTTGAATAAAACATACTTTCGCCTTACTATCTGTTATTTGTAGCTTATTGTTAGCTAGCTATTTTTTGAGGTGGGGCGCGAGACCTGACAAATTCTGAAACACTGATCTAACGCTTTGCCTAAGTATTATATATGTTCTCACTCAGAATTTCATTTGCTTACTTAACCCTAAGTCATGACAGTGAGATAGGTGTAGCAAAATGGAACACCACATTTTTCAGACACCACTAAATGACCACTTGTTACAAAAATCACAAAAAACATCAATGTCGCGTACATAGACTGGTGTAAAGTGGTATTTATTTCACAAAATTGCAAGTAGATGATGCATAAATAGAAAAGAGCAGTATTGTAGTAGCTCGATTCATTGACTCGAGTCACCCTATAAGAGCGAGAGATTTATTATTTAGTCAATCGAAAAAGAGAGGCCCAATTGGCACAGTTCTGTTTCAAGTCACGATATAACAGCGAGAGAGAGAATATTATTTTGTCCAAAAAATACAGTCATCAATAAGATAGCAACAGCAATAAAATTGTTTTGGTATGGACAGGAGGGAGTGATATGATCATACGGTCATAGAGGTCAGCTTCCACCTGAACAGTGATTAAAGTCATCCGAATTAAATGAATTGGTCCCAAACTTCCAACTAACCATCAGTGAAACATAGCTCAGTGATCGACTCAGACGACCCATGACCTGCGAAGTTTTGGGACTTTCTTCCAACACTGGTGGTAAGAGTGAGTGTTGAATGAGACAATACATAAACTTTATATCCAACCAAAAAAATAGCATGGACATCATATTCAAAACGAGAAATAAATTTTAATCGCATCATACATAATTAACACATTGACTCAGTCGACTTTACTTCTACTGTGAGGTTCTTAATTAGCATATGCAAATAATTAACTTTTTCGAGATTAGGCATTTCGACTGTCCGGTTTGTTACCCTAGGAGTCATTCCAGAGTCAGAAACCTATGCCTTTACCTAATGTTTCTACATAAATTTAAAATATAAACATATGGAAAAATTGGGTTTCATAAGCACAGAAATTCAGCAGAAACAGAAAATAAACTAGTCAGTAATCAAATATATCGCCCAAAACCTTTCTGATGAAACAAGGATGATGCCACATTTTAAATTATACAAGTAAAAGTGAATATTCGATGAATTCAGAATTTATATGTTCATAGTAGTTATCTTAAAAATATTCTCCAATTTAAATTCTGAATGGCTATTTCATAAAGAATTGAAACTAATAAACCTTTTTATAGTTTATCCCACTGTCCGTGTCCACGTTTCTGAATATGGATGAATTTACCTTAAATCATAAATATTATATTGAAATCTGCCAGAATAGACAAGTAATTCAAATATGAACATTCATGATGACAGATTTTTTAATACTGACAACTTCGACAATCCGAAATATAAGAATAATCACAAAATGCCAAACTTATCTTTGCAGAAATATTCATTCATTCACCTGGTATGTGATTCTATCTCATTTGCATTCTTAAAATTAAGTTTTTTGAACATACATTCCATATACATATTATTGAGACATTTTGCCACAGTTTATTTTTGTAGAATCTTAGAGATACCAGAGACATCAAATTTAAATAAATTTGAAAACGAAATTTGGAACCTTTTTCTGGGGTGAACACAAACATAATGTTTGAACAACAGACATAATACTGACAGTTTGTCTTGACAACTCTTCACATTTCAATACTAAGGTCGTCGGAGATCAAGTTTGGCTGATTTTGCGTCCTTTTCCATTGGGAATAAACAATACTTGCGCGGGAAATGTCGAAAAAATCATAGAACATGTACCTCAAAAAAACATGAATGCTTTGGCAGAACACAATACTCTTGTCCAATGTGAAAATAATTTGTCAAAATTAGGCAATTTGAGGCAGCCTACTCTAAGAGACACTGGTAGAAAACCATACTTTTGTGAAATATGTAGAAAGAGATTTTGGTGTAGTCCCTCACACATATTAAAACAAAGCCTTTTTTTAATATATTCCTTTCACATATAAGTATTCTTGAGCTCGCTTTGAAACAATTTAAAAGAAATTAATATCTGTATTTTGTTGAATAATCTTTAGGAGAAACGACAAGACCTCTGCCTTTCCTTGCTCCTCTGTAAACAGTTTCCAAAATGTCGATCATTTCTCGTTTATCTTCCATAGGCCAATTAATTTTATTATTATTACCGGTTCCTAAATCAATCATAATGTGTTTATTTCTATAGAAAAACATAGTCGTACAAGGGTCGTACAATTCATACATTTTGTTGAAGTCCGGTACTTTTGTGATATCCACTAAATAACAAACGGCGAAGTTTTTGACTTTGTCAGCGATGCTGTATAACGTTTCATCCATCTTCATGCAGGCTGGATCCCAATCATGCCCGAATCTAATGACAACAACTCTCTCTTGTTCACTCAAGATTGCCTGGTCAACTTGCCAACCATTTGTTAAATGAGGAAGCATATAAGACATATTGCTCGAAGTTTTTTACGCTTGGAGGTCCAGAAAATTTAACTATACAGTTCAGAGACAAGATGATGAGTTTCTTTATATTTGCTCTGTCTTTTAGTTGATATTCAACTAGAAAAACCTAGAAAGAAACAAAAATATGCATTGAATAAAAAAAGGAATAACGGAAACGCATAGAATGTCAGCGGTACCTACTCCTGTATTATAAAATCTGTGTTCTGCAAAACATGCCCTATCTGCCTATTGAATAATGCCAATTTGATTTATCATAATTTTTAACAATGACAGTAGACTACTCTACTGCAGTACCGGTACGCAGTACCGTACCGTACCCTGGTACCGGTACCGGTACCGCACCGTAAGTTTCTGATAACAAAATACAAACCACAATGAGAGAGAATATCGCCCCAAGCATCTTGTCTAGCTAAAAAATGATTAAAAATTACAAATAGCAGAATAGGCAGAAATTTCATCAATTATCATACAGTCATACCAATTCAGCAGTATTAGTTTCCTTACCGGTAAAAAAAGACTACACTAACTAGACTACACAGGCAGAAGTTACGACGTATCTAAAACGTTCTGATTTTTTCAGTCCATCCAATATCGTCACTGGGGGTCGCCATTTAAGATTTACATATTTATCCCGGGGGAGAGGTAAGCCGATAACACGGCTTATCCATATAGCGAACCACGGCCTCTCGTCCGGTTACCATTCCAAGTCGTGTATGGGATTAGTTATATTGTTTGTTTTCGGAAGCATGGACTTGGTGGTGGAGGAAGCCGTAACGGACAGCGGTTACGTGAACCACCCAACGACGGCGAGGAGTTCAGCAATCCTCTCGCACATAATCATCCCTGCATGAGATTCGAACCTGCGAACCCACGAAGGGGTAATTAGTGGTGCGGTGGCGAGCGTATTCCTAACGCTTAGCCCGTTGAGCCACACCGCCGCGCCATGTTTCATACGGGCGAGCGCAGTATTTTCTTTTTGGTGTCACCCTAAAACCAGAACTTGTGAAATCAAGTATTCTTCTATGCACATCGTTTTTTAACGTATTTTACTCTGAAGTTTGAGTTTTATTTGTATTCAAATAAATGTTCACATATAGGGACATGTAAAATTCAGCCAGTAACTGATTTTCGCTCCGACTATTGCCATATTATTCCATGATTAATTTTCGGCATAACTTTTTATGCGTTGCTTTCTGAATGAAATATGTTAGTTTAAGCCGATATCTTGATTTTCATAAGACAAAGGGAAATACTATTACACAATTTATGGTAAATCATTCAACCGTTTTTTAGTAATTAAAATATTGATAGAATATATGGCAATGCTGAGTACAGAATCAGGCAAATTTTAGACACATCATAAAAAACTATTTTACAATGCTCAATAATGAGATTATACAAATTTGGTATATATGAATCTACAACTCATATTAAAAAACAAACACTATTGTGACTCGTCAAGTTTGGCAATTGCCTGTTTCGCCATGGAAGTTGTCATAATTTTTAGGTATATATATTTTTCGTCATATATATATATTATAATATTTATATTTTATATATATGTTGCCTTCTCAATGAAATATTCTTCTAACATGGATACCATGACTGAGGTTATGAAAAAATCCGTTTTCCAAACTCTCACCATGAAGGAATTTCCATTAACTATAAGTAATCTAGTCGCATTTCAATTTGATCGCCAGCTGCCGCTTTTCGACCGGACCTATCTTGGTTTTCTCGTTTTTCCATTTCTTTGGAAATAGCCGTAGTGTAGGCGCAGTTAATAATGTCTTTTGCGACAGAATCATGGGCACTAACCACTAGTTTTGCCAAGAATACGATCAATCATTTTATTTCATCCTCGTGGCATGAATTAAAACAACACAAATCGAACTTTCGAAGCCGAGTTTTTGCCTACCGTTTTATCTCAGGCCGGATTCAGTTATTCAACAAGCAGTCAGCAAAATAAAGCGTTGTATCGTAATTGTTGAGATCGTTCTAAATGAAGTCCATAAAGTAATCAACACCGCAGCACCGCATCTATTTTCTTGACCGTGTTGACTTGAACTGCGCTAAGTCCCGCGCCAACGCGCATTCACTGACCACCATACCTCCGAAGCTCCTTGGTCGCCCGTGACTTTACTCAACGTCAGGTCTTATTTCCCTTTTGAGCAAATGTAAAAATGATTTAAAAACAACAATTTTATAGGTAAATAAATAAATTTACTGATTCGTTAATTATACAACAATAAAATAATTATCTCATTTCTTGTTTACAAATTTTAATCAATTTTCCTGTGTCCTCATGTGATAACAGCAAAACTAAATGCAAATCATTTTTGTCAGATTGTACAAAGAATGATGAAATCCAAGTTAATTTGTTTTGAACATTTAATGAACGAAATACCAATGATACCGCAATTTTTATGGCAAAAGAAGTTAAAATTAGGTTTCTTTTGTACAAAGACCCCAACAAAAATTACCCCCACCAACGATTAAAATAAGGAAATTAGTAATTATCCGCTGGGGGTTTGCAAATTGCAAATTGCCCAGGAAATTCAGATATTCGAATCATTACTGACCCTAACCTCCATATTATTATATTAATCACACATTGCGGGGGATTTACTCAAATCTCACATTTTTGCATTAGTGGCAGGGTCTTTGTAGAAATGATTCAAAATTAGTTCGATGGTTATTTTAATATTACCGAACGCTTCACAACATTACAGTCCGGTAATATGATGATATTTATTTGAATTTTTAAATGAAACGTTTTGCAATTTTGTACACTATGTAAAAATAAGTTATCAGACATTGGGAAACCGCAGAAAGCACTAATGTCTGGTAATGCAAATGTTATGCCTTGTAATACTCGACGATCGAAGAATTCCTCGAAAGAAGCAAAAAAGTTCACGTAGGCACCATAAATACGGAAAAATGGTTTAAAAACCGGGCCTGGATTCGTATCCTGACTCGTCACACGATCAAGTCGTTCCATCGGTTTTCATCTCCACCGTGATAAATATTTTAAAAAAATCGAAACAAAGAATGCAAAAGAATTGTCGTATAACTATTTACTCAACATCTTACATATTGACCAGAAATAAAAGATAGACAATGGATAAACAATAGTATGCGGCTCTCAACAACCTTCCGTGCGGCTCTTCTTAATGGCTTAGAAATTAATTACTTTCAAAGGAAATTTTTAATTGAAAACTAATCATTGACTTGAAATTAAAATGCGGAAGTCTATTAGTTAGTCGAATGGATTCATCCGTGTTTATTTGCGTAGCGTTGACTAATCTACAAGATGCAATAGTGACGCAACTGTAAGCATTTTCGCAGCCACTCCAACACTTTTCTCTTGAAAAGATTTTAAACATGGCTGTAATCATTATTAGCATGCTTTCGTGGATTTTCAGTTTTTGTCGCATTTCCCAATATTATGTATAAATCAAATAATTCAATGATTTTATTATTTTCTAGAGCATTTTAATTTTGTTCCAATAATCGAAAATTGTCCCGAAATATATGGCCATCATCTCAAGCAGCTACTGCACCTTGCATCCTCCACGATTACGACCCGCTTTGACAAACTCATTAGAAATCAAAGCCAAATTAAATGGCTATTAGTCTGGTGTGGGCAAAATTGAATCTTTTTTTCGAATTTGGAAATTAATAGAAACATTGAAAAGTCGGCAATAAGGCGTTTTTTTTACTGGTTAAGGGTTAATTTCATCATAATCGCTGATTGTCTTTGTCAACGCGATCGTTTCGGCGGCGATATCTTAAAGTTGGCATTCTCTATTTCTCGTACTTTCTCGTTTTTTTGCAAGAATAAGGGGTCGCCGGATATCGAAGTTTCATTTTTCTAGTATACCCTTGCGTTCACATCAGCGACAGCTGTTGAAGACATTAAGGGCTGATTTCAAAACCAAATTAATTTTATTCTGAGTTTTATCCTCTGCCTTGGATTTGATCTTCCTTATCACCGAATTAACCGTGCCTGTTTATAGTGAACAGTAACCGAGATGCAGATATTTATTACAATGATAATTGAGTTTCTCATGCTTTTCTATGGTGTACGTGTTATTTTAGTATTAGATAGATAAACCTAGCGAACTTACGATTGCGTGAATCCTGAATGTTGATTTAAAATAGCGATTAAATAAATTGGCAATAAAGGCATTTCTAGTCCTTTGTGCCTAATAGAGGGTCATACGCTAATTATACCTAATTCCTTCAAGTTTCAACATTTTTTTTCAACAAAACAACACCCCGATGATTATTATAGCTAAAATACTTACTGAGTAATGCTCAATTTTCTTTACGGAATTTGCAAATTCAGCACTTCACTTAATTTTTGATTATGTCATGCCTTGATGCTTAAATATTACTGCCCAAATGCTTCAAAATTTAACAATTGTAATCATATTCAATCATAATAGACGAATCAGTGTGCATTGTTACAACGAAATTCTCGATTAATTTTACGTTCTACTCTTGGCTCAACGGCCATGCATGGTCGAGTAAAATGTTTGCATATTCGAAACATTACTTGGCTAAGGATGGAAGGGATCACTAAAGAGCTAATACAAAGTACTTTAAAGGGACGTGACATTTCTTATCTGGTTACAACTCAATGAATGTTTTTCATACAAGTAACTCATACCAACTTTTGGTCATTTTTAAATCCATGCTATTTATATAACCAGAGTTTTCTAAAGACCAAAAATCGCCTTTTTCACAATGAAACGTCGAAAAGTCATTTTAACATTTAATTTTAATCAACTTTATGTTCGGTAATGCAAGAAATGGCTAATGACATGTCACCAAGCATGCGGAGTTTAAAATCTGGGAAATTTATTTTAAATACCTTATCTGGTTTGACGTTTCTAAATTTGCATAACGGTCGGTACATTTTTATGGAATTGAAACGATACGTTAGGTGCAAAGATGAGCATATAACACCATAACGCAAAGACAACGACTTTTCAAATTTGTCTTTTTTTTGCGATAGCGAGCGCCGTTAGCAAATCTCGCACAATTCACGATTGAGTTGGAGGCGCACGAGTTCGGTGGCCAAGCAGAGCGGCGCAGGTCACGTGGTACCGGATATTCGAATACATAGTAAAATGCCATTTAAATATTTTATAATACGAATATTTTGCCCAGCCTTAGTTGATACGTGTGTTGTTGTTACGATGACTTGGTATTTTAATTACGCGCTTAAGGTTTGTTGTCATTTTACCTTGCGTTGTTTGTGTGCGGCTCTTCATAACTTTGAGGTTTGAAATGCGGCTCTGGGACTAAAAAAGTTTGAGAACCACTGGTTATGACTGTTCCTTGAGTCTTAACTGAAATGTAACCGGATCTTAACAAGATGATGACACTGTACTTAACCATCTGCTTCATTGGACTTTTAACGCGATTGGAAAAAAATAACATTTTAATTTTTCGTGGATTTATAGTGGAAGTTCGGTAGTGGGCTCTGCTGTAAAGACTGTCAAAGACAAACAAACTTGACCCCAATAAAATTTAATTTGCGCGGCGTTGTGGGTTATGCTCCTTTAACAACAGAAACGATATCTTGCACACTAAAAACAAAAAGAGAAAAATGATCATAACTTTTGTTTTGTGCTACCCGCGACATTTAAAAATTATTTTTATACCTATACGCTATTTTAGACAATGCAAAAATTTCGCGTGCTCACGGTACGCATTATGCGCAGTTTACCACCGGAAACAACATATCACGTGAAGATGAAAAACAGTTAATTGCGCGCGCAATGTGCCCATTTATAGATTGTCTATTTCAGACGAACCGTATTAAAATTTGAGCAATAAATTTATTCAGGATTATGATTAAAAAACGTGTGTGATTATGATTGTATGTTCAATCAAATTTGCATTCTACTTGAATAAATTGTATTTTTCGGGATTGTAGTCGAGCAGCTTTTTTATATTAATCTAGTCGCGCGTTGACTTTGAATGCAATTATCACGAATTCTAGAAGTTTTATAATTTGCGCAACAGAAAAATCAACAGCTGCTGAAAAATACAGATCTTTCAGTTACTGGTAAATTCCTGGCAATTATTTTAGAAACCGTTGTTGGGGAATTTCCGAACCGTAGAATGGGAACTTTCGAGCGACCATGGGCGTTAAAAGAGAACAAGAGAGTGAGGCCAAAATCGAATCTTTTACAGTTCCGGACAGAGGCTTTCCGTCTTCGATTGATCAGTGATCACCAGATCGCGAAAGCGGAACCGCCACAAAGTGTTTTAATTTTGATGGCGTCATCACACAAAAATTCATAAAGCTCACAGACATTTTTTAAATAATAAAAGTAATAGAGTTTTAGTGACAACAACAATCTTTGACCACTGAAAATTTCAAAGCAATCGGTCCAGTAGTTGAAGAGAAAATCGAAATTGTCACAATAACAAGGAAAAGAATAGTAACAACAACAAAACAATCCATAGATCCACTTCATGTCCAATAACACAAAGCAACAAGTCGTTATTGCTGACTGTCTGTTTATATGAGACTTGCGAAACATAGCCTCATTGAAACCATGCAACATAATCATTCTACTCGGTTTTTTCAAAAGTGAAATATTTAACTAGTGTATAAAGTGTGGTGGGGTTTATAGCGTTTCTTTTGGAGGTACTCCCGTAGTGTGTGTACCAGGTTAGGGTTAGATCATACTTTTATTCCGATTTTCCTTACTTTAGTTCTATTACGAGTTCGGGGACTGTCTGTGTTAGCAAAGTGAATATACCCCCACCCATGGGTTTCAGCCCCTTCACACAACTTGATGTAAAATAGGCGAACAAAATTAATTATCTTCATATTGGTACACACGCTTCTGGAGCGTTTCTTTTTGTGCATTTCCCAATCTAATTAATCGAGGCTGGACTAAATTATAACGCGGACGCCCACCTCAATATTTAATTATCGAATATGAAATGAAACACGTTCTTGAACAAAACACTGATTAACTCAATTGTTTAGGTCATAACGCTATTCAATAAAATGTCTATGACAAAAGAATGGTGTAAACGTAGATGACAGCAGTAGCGTTGTTTGGCGCGAACAATTCCACGCCCGATGACAAGTATTTGATATTTGTGTAAATATGAGGCATAAAGTGATAAGACCAGCTGAAAAGGATTTGCTAGAGGCATAGCAGGTACTATAGACTGCCTGTCAAATATTCGTTGATAGAAAATGGATATTACGTTTGGGGATATAAATTTGCTATCGTGTATTATACTTGGTTTCTCAGCTGGGGTTAACTTACGCCTTATGGTCCGTATGGGGTATATTTGAACTGCATTGGGTAGGGGGTAATTGTTGCAGGTATGTAGGTATTCAATTAAAGGCTCTAGTGTAATTTATGCTTTTTTAATTTTATTCCGAGTATGTTTCTAATTTAATTGAGACCTCTAGAAGTATGAACCTGAACCCTAACCTGGTACACATAAAACGTTCAGGTTGTACGCCATCTTGGTGCACATACTTCTAGAATCTAGAGGTCTCAATTAAATTCAAAACATACTCGGAATAAAATAAAATAAAGCACAAATAAATTTCACTAACTAAATAAGAAAATCTTGCTCGACGTTAGAACAAGACTCGGCGACGTTAAAATAAGTAGAATTAATTTTAAAAAAAAACAGCATAGGTTTTAATTTTATTCGAAATGTAACTAAATGCTAACACAGATTTGCAAGTTGGATTATTGTTTGCTTGAGTGATTTGAAAACAAACAAAAATGGGTACTCCTGAATGAGGCAAACCAAGATGGCGGACACCGGAACGGAGTAGGTGTACCAGGTTAGGGTTACGCTAAATTTCAGGTACAAATACTACGGGAATCAGTTGGTTAGTTCCCGAACTCGTGATAGAACTAAAATAAGGAAATTTGGAATAAAATTATTGGCTAACCCTAATCTGGTACACATACTACGTTCCGGTATCCGCCATCCTGGTTCACATCCTTCGGGAGTACCCGAAAATGATTGAATAACGGTCATCCCGATCAACTGGTTAACATCAACATAACTGCGGCGTGAAAAGATTACTGGATCATTTTTATGCTTCAATTGTGCTTTCTCAAATTTAAGGTATGGGTATGGCTTATGTTGCTATTAGCTAATTTCAGCTGTAATGCAAGTGTTATCATTCACTGTTCATCTTTTACTCCTGGTCAATATGCGATTTTCTTTTATGACTTCTGGTATTTCATTTTGTAAAATTTTTAAAAGGATTGAATAAATAATCAGGCGCAGTGCAAATACAAGTCCAGAAGTCGAGTCAATAACTGAGTTGAGTCGCGATGGCGATTAGTTCGAGTCATTCCATTTAGATTACTCTGATAAATGGTCACTCAAGTCCGAGTTGAATCGATACTTTGACTACTGAGACTTTGACTTTGAGCCCTCTTACCACTGGCTATACGACAGTTCGTGGAGATTTCCGTGTTATGATCCTTTTTTCATATCCTTCCCTGAAGAGAGCAAAGTTGATAGAACGGTTCTCCTAAAGTATGTGCACCAAGATGGCGCACAACCTGAAAATAGTATGAGTACCAGGTTAGGGTTCAGGTTGTGCGCCATCTTGGTGCACATAGTTTCTGAGCGCCGATAGAACTGCTTCATCGCGTGGCAATCCACGGTTTCTATTCTAGGCAAGATATAGAAATAATTAACCAGATGATTGTTCCATATGTACGGACTTCAATAGTGGAAGAAACGGTAACCGGCCGATGTTTACGGTAACGAAGTCTGAATTATAATAAAATCAATCTGCTTTACCCGAAAGGTAAACCTGTTTCCATTCCATGCTTCAGAAAACAAATAACTGGCTAACTAATCTCATACCCGACATGGACTGGTAACCGGATGAGAGGCCGTGGTTCGCCATATGATCAAGCCGTCTCATCGACTTTCCTCCTCCGGGATATATATGTAAATCCTAATCCTACCTTTCCCGCTACATTACAATTTTATATGTGTACCTTATAGCTTATACTATAGTTACCTCAAGTGACCAGGATAAAATGCAGCTTGTCGGTGAACGGCTCCATTGAACTAACCTATTTACGTAGCTTTTACATGAATATTAGGCGTCAAATATTCTAGCTATAGCATATGAGTGTTATCTTATTTCAAACAGTATTATTTTGTGTATATACAACAAATTGTTAAAATAGGCTATCAAGTAAATTGGACACAATATGGCGACAACAACAATGGAGCCACCTCTGCTCAGTTATGGGCGTTCCATGTCACGTGTTCCAAGATACAAGAAAGTCATGAAATTACCAAAGAAACAACCTAATCTACAAGAAAAAAGGTAACGTTATTTTTATTTAACTATCAAGCCAACTAACTTTATTTAACGTGAAGCCAACTAACTTTCTTTGCTCTATGCCTTCGTGCAAGTGGATGCGTATGCGTATAACGCGATGATGATGTACCAAGAGTAAAGACGAGAATATCGGTCGGAGACCGAAGATTTATCAACGATTCAGGCGCTCTTACTCCATAGTGACACCGTGTGTCCCGTCACTAATTAATTAATAACTCGCTAATTATACGATAATTCATCCTAAATCAATAGGCTTCTGGTCCGAGATATGATGAATGCACATGCAAAATTTGGAGAAGATTCAACTTCGCTTTCGTAAGATATCGAGTAACATACGAAAGTGCCTAACAGACAAATACCTATCAACATACTTACCGATCTTAAGATCGATAAGTAATGACCAATATTCTTACTGCTGTTGGTGTGCAGCAAGACGCCTGAATTAAATAGGTTATCCTTACTTATCGCTTTTCTCTTCTTTATGCGGACAACCCACTAGAAACCGGGTACGCCAGAGAAATGTATGCAAAATTGTCAAGGTCAAGTTTATTTTTTACATCCATTAAAAAGTTAACATACAAAATTTAAAAATAAATTTAGCACTCATTTTTACTGGGAAAGGGGCGGCCGCGGAGAACCGAGGCTGGTAAATTTAGAAGTAAAAAAATCGCACTTTTTCCTACACGGATCGGATATTGAATACGCATTTCAGTAGATTACCAAATGTGCCCAATATTTGACTGTAACGTCCTATGTTCTGCAATTTCAATTTTGCTGTGAAATGACCTTGATATATCTTAACCAGGTTCGTTTTATTTTTTCAATTCAGTTATTTACTTAAATTAATGCATCCATAGGGGCCAACAACCTACATATATTTGGTATGGCTCCCGTACATTTGAACCCACGACAATTGCACCTGCATACTTTTGCACCTATGAAAATTTTTTTGTTTCACGGATATTTGAACCCATACTAACCCTAACCCGTGGGTTTTAGCACCCGCATATAGATTGAACCCACGGAAATACACATGGGTTCAAATGTACGGTCACCATTTGGCATCGATTGCAATTTTGAAAAAAATTAGGACTTTAGGAATATTAACCTTTACATGTTATTAAAAGAATTCTTCAACACCATGAATATCTCTAAGCTGCGTTGTCAATCAATACTGGGACAGCATGTTAACAATCGTTCGTGTCCACGCCACATCCCAGATATTTATATTAAAACTTACCAAATTACAGACATGAATCAAAATTTAAAGTTTACTAACAAACATTGATGGATGAGATTACGCGCTGCTGACAAATCTATACCACACTGGTAAAACAACGGCAAATTGCACAAGCATTTCAAAGTAAATTATACCCCACTTAAGAATATTCTGTGGAATGGCCATAGGTTGATTGTTAGATAGCCGATTCGTTTCTATAGAAATTGTATATGTGTTTGAAGTCGTTTGATTCAGACATTTTACTATAATATTCGAGTCATATTTACACATTTTGGAGAAGCGAAAAATATTTTCTTGTATTTCGAAATTTAACTAGCTAAAGCAATCTATGATCAGCTTTGTCTAAATTCAACCATACTTGGACCGTATATAATATTAGCAATAACTTGAATAGCGTGAATTGAGTTTATTTAATATCGGACGTTCATTTGTAATTGTACAAGGGGACATGAATGTGTCACCGTGACGAGAGTTAGTTTACTCTGCTCTTCAAGTTCTGGTTTTAACATCGGGTGTTGATTTATAGATGCGTGTTTGTCACGTACCCAGAGAGGTTAGGCGGGGGTGGGCAGGGTTGTTCTAACAGGGGCCAAACATTTTGTCCATTCAGACTGGCGGGCCATGTAAGTGTGACGTAAAAAGTTAAAATTTATGAGCAATATTTACAGTGTTATAAAAGCAAAAGTGGAAAACAATAAGCCTCGTGCCAAAACTAAATTTTTAGATAAAATATTAGGATTTGGTTTTAGCTTGGTTGTGGGAGCATCAGAAGGACCAGATTGAATTACCGAACGGGCCGGATCTGGCCCGAGGGTCGTAGTTTTTCCATGTCAAGGTCAGCGTTCGGTGTCGACGGATATGCGACTTTTGCGGATATGCGACGTTTCTTGTTGGACGCGAAGTGGATCTATATGGATCGTTATGATATTATGTTGTCATTGTCGAAAAATCACTTTTCTCTTCAACTACTGGTTTATTACAATGGATTCAAAATATATTTTGTTTGTATATAGCGGGTTATATTATGAACATACTATTACATTCGTATTGTAAAAAATCAAGGGTAAAAACTGAACTTAGAATTCATAATTTATAAAAATAATCAATAACATAGTTTAAGTAAGAACTGGAGACGCGCAAATGTTTCGTTGCGTTTTGTTTTGATGATACTTTCCACAGCTCGATTATTAAGCCTTCATTGTGGTGTTACCTGACATAAACATTTTAGATGGAATATCAGATCTCACAGAAAATTTAGAAACAAATAAAAATGATAGCATTCGAGCGCAAAATACAATTTTCAACCACTGAAAATTTCAAAGCAATTGGCCCATAAGCGAATGGCAAAAGCGATTTTTCCAAAAGGTAACAAGAAGAAGAATAACAACAACATAATAACAAAACGATTCATACGTCTGTTTCGTGTCCAATAACATTGTGAAGTTGCCACGCATTTATCTGACTTTGGTAAACATGTTTTAACAAGGACTTATTTCTGTACTCGGTTTGTTTATTGAAGAGATTTGTGCTTTTCTCATCACCCCAAAGATATTTTAAACGAGTTGATAGGCTAGCTATGATCGAAAATAACGGATGAATTAATTTTGATGGAATTGTTCTTGACCGTTTCACGATTGTAACTAATAAAATATACAGTATATACGCAAAATAACTGTTATTCAACAGTAATTTGCTTAACTATGGACCTCACTTGAATGAGTGAGGGAGTATTGCATGTATCAGTACATGCGCCTGAGATGCAAATGGTTAGAGATTGGAACAAGACTTGAAAGCATTCAAGACAATGCAGTTTGGGAAACAACATGGTGGACAGGACTTATTATCTCTAAAATAGTTAGAATAGGTTCCGGATTCCACTGAAATAACGAGAAATATTAAAATCTCGAACTGACATTGGCAAAGTACGTTCCGCGGGCCAAACACGACTTGTTGGGTAATGCAATCGGGCCCGCCTGATGCTGCTACACCCAAACTGAAACCAATTTTTGATGTTTTAGCTGGAAATAGCTCGAAGAATTTGTTAAGAAATTCAATTTTGGCACTAGGATCATTTTGTTTTTAAGACTTAATAAACACCCTATCTTTTTTATGAGTAAATAAGCGCAACATTTTTCATATATTCCATCAATATCAGAAGCTCTTTTCAAAACAATGGCTATTTTGGCGCCATTGATACCCTTAGCATATTGTGTGATCATAATACTCGCGTGAGTCGACGATACTTGAATTGAACTGGGCGGATTCTGAGCAAAACAATGGAATTTGATGAAGCTAGGAAACAATACGGCTGTCTGAAATCGAATCCTATTATAAAGAGTTTAAAAGTATCTTTTTATATTCTCCTTTGTTGCCAAGGGATTTAAAGGGGTACTGTTAAACAAATGTAAACTTTATGTGAAATCCAATGGATTTTCGATGAAATGTGTTAGCTTATAAGATTTTTGTAGGATTGTCGCAAATTTTCGTATTGGGTCTTGCTTTTCAAAATCAACCAATAAATCATCATTTATTTTCCAACACAATATCTATACATTACGAAAAATATGGCAAATATAGGGCAAGCATAAAGACTAACTTTAGTTGTGTGAAAGGTGTTGCGAGGGACCTCATGAGTGCTTATTATGGTGGAGAGTTCTCTACTGATGCCAATCAAAAACCGAAATGCGTTTCTTGCGTGTCTTTGTACATTATTATCATCATTGCTATATAGCAGTCAAGAACAGTGATCCCAACTCTGCGACAAAAATGAATATTTGTTTATTGCACCCCCCCCCCCTCCCCTCCCTCCACAAAAAATATGTTCCAGCCTTAGACGCAATCGTGTTATATGTTGCTTCATTTACAAATTTCAGCGTGCATTGCAGACAAAAACAAACGATTCTACGTTTGAACTCCCCTTTATTAGTTAACAATGGAGACAAAAAGTTATAAAAAAGTCTATTCTCGCTTTATTACATCGCAAGAGCTATTCAACACGATTGTACACGTCAACTTGACCTTTGGGGTCAATCTTGAGCCCTGTTGAGCGTTAGTAGGATTACGTAAAACGTAAACTCTTCCATTGTTACCACTGACATTGTGTTCACCAAGCTTGGAACAAAGATGGTTCGTACATGAACGAAATGAATTAACTCATTAAAAATTTGAAATCTCTTGTAAAGGATGGGTTGATCACGGCTTTAAAAAACTTTACTTCAGCCCTCAAAATTTGGATGTTTGTCTCGAAGGCAGACAATGTAGCAAAAAAGGCAGTAGGGAAATACCTTTCCACAGTAATTGGGTAGGAAGTCCGATCCTGTCTGCGTTGATTTTATGATTGCTAATGTTTGTATTTTGTAGTTCCTGCAACTCAGTAAATCTACGTAAAGATACTGTTTTGTATGGCAACAAACAGTTATCAAGGAGCAAATTTCACCGAGTCTGTAATGCTTTCATAATTGATTACATTTGTTTGTTTTTCGTTGAGCTTGCGTGGTAAAGGTCAGTAACGTGGATAATAGAATTACCCTTTTTCAAGACTTTAAGTGATTCAAGATGAATAAAGTGAATCAAACTAGGACTTGAATAACAGTCTAGAAAATTAACACAAGACTGCATGATAACTTTGAACAAGTATTTGAGAAGCAAAAGTCAATAAAATACGAACGCTTGTTGCAGTAATAACTCGAAATGTACCAAGTTGCAAAATAGCCTAGTTTGATCTTTAAAATAAAGTTGGCTTTAACACAAGAGCGTTTTAGCGTGAGTAGTTACTATGACTCAAACTCGGGACAGCAGGTTTTGACTTATGACTCGGAAAGCAGTAACTGCCACTCCGTTATCTTGTAATATTAAGCCAGTCGTTTCTTACATATATATACTTAAATAAAACTTGTTAGTATTGACTTACTATTGGGTGGATATTATGCGTACAAAGTTCCCGTTTTTACTACTCTCATGAAAGAAGGTGGGACATAATTTCATGGTTTTTATGTAAATGACGTCAAAGCTCCGGTTTCGAGTAAATCGTATATATATATATTTGTTCAAATCGATTTCAACTCATTGTTTTGAGTTTTACGATCCAAAAACATATGTCTGTTGCTTTAGAAAAGTATCAATCGTGCCAATATGTTGCTATTGGTATAGTGTAGTACAATTAAGGTTGTTCGAAATTTTTATAACAAGTGTTTTGTGAGAATTAGGGTTTGTCTGTATCAATTTCAAACAAGCATTGACGTCACATTCTGATTTCTGGAAAGATGTTTATGAGAGAAATAATATTTCTAGATATTTTTCTGTTAGATTCACGTTTGTCTATGCAACTGTACGTAGATATATAAAATATTGAATTTTGACGGCTCCACAGAGGCGTAGCCTGGACTTTCCAAAGAAGGGGGTTTCTGAAATTTCTAATTGCAAGTTTGGGTCTTGAGGGTCTAAAATAGGGTTGCCATACCGTCCGGAAAATTTCGGACATGTTCTTGCAACTCAACCAAGTCCATAAAACAATGTGGTAGTGATACATTGCAAATGATATTTCTTGTACATTGTACTCCAAAATGGGGGCTCCCGAAGTATGCGAACCAAGATGGGGACATCGGAATGTAATATGTGTACTAGGTTAGGGTTAGGCCATAATTTTAGGTATTAATACTACGGGAGGCTCTTGGCTAGTCTTCGAACTGATAATAGGACTAAAATAAGGAAAATTGGAAAAAAATTATCGCCTAACCCTAACCTGTTACCCATGTTACGTTCCGATGTCCGCCATCTTGGTTCGCATACTTCGGGAGCACCCCAAAATGAGATAATTAAGATATAGATAAGAGAGATAGATAGTTAAGATATATTGAGAACTGACTTCATAACAAAATTGAAATTGTAAAAAGACTTTATGGACACCCTGTTTGTCTTAACAAAAAGTATAATGTGGGAAAATGAGTGCTGGAAAGTCAGGACATATGCTCGAGATTTGAAAAATAAAGCTATATTCATCATTTGTTTTATTACAAAAAATTTTTCTCGTTTTATAGAGATCAGTCTGATAAACCCGAAGGAAACGCATTGCAAAAAGTGGGAGCTTTTGGTGTTTCTGTCAAGAAAAATCAACTCACCACGGATTACTTAAAGCATTCTCGAGCGACGTCAGATCGTCAAACCTCACCGATCAAGGAATTGGTCGAGGAAGAGGAAAATGCGGAGGCGGAAGAAAATAATAGCAGCGACATCAAGCGACTGCCAGCAGTAGAAATATCAATCAGAAAGAAAATTAAGGTAACATAGCCTACTATGAATTCTGCAGCAATAAACCCTTTTATATATATATAATTCTTTTTTTTTCATCGATTTCATGAAATAAAATCCCAGACAAGCAAATCAAATGAAATTAATTACACATGTATGACACATTCACGTAACATAATTTTACTCTTTTAACTATGACATATGATCCGATTAATTGCATAATTTGCCAAATTCTGAAGTAATACGTTGCAGTTTAGGTCGATTTATAAAAAAAAACGAGCATCAATGAATCAACCTGTTAATCGGAGGGTCAAAATAACATTAAAACACTCTTTTTTGCACATAGCAAATGCAAGATTGTCAGTAATAAAATATAATGAAATATCTTTTTCACTTTGTTGTCAATATCAATGTTCTATAGTGCCCTCTCTCTCAAGACTTAGTAGAGTGTGATGTTTGCTGTTCCGAATGTTTGAGCTTACCTTAAAATACGCAGATTTTATTTTTACTAAACAAAACACAGAAACAACAAGATGTAGTTGTGAAGACAAGATTCATGAAGACTTTCAGCATCGGTTATTGAGGCTTGAGAAATGACTTGCAGTTCAAAACGCAATATCAATTGACAATTCATTTTGTCAGTATCGTCCGACTTTCATGTACCCATTATATTATCAATATTATACCCTCTCATGCATTTTTGCAGCGTTTATTTTTTCTATTCCAGAGGCGAATCATGATAAGACATTCAGTGAATACAGAAACTCTGGAATCGTCTGACAAACAAGTGTTAGAGGATTTACGAAACGATTTGAGAACTCAGACGAGGGACCACAGAGGAGAGAAAAGTATATTGGAAGCCATTGGTGATCCTAAGGTGACCACGTTACTTAATTGATCATCATATTTTTAAGGTCTGGGGTAGGCGAAACATATGTTCGTCGTTTATACATTGATATTTAATTGATAAAACTGAAAATTTTGGAATTTATATATTAAAATATATTGGGTATAACAATAATGCCCTACGGCTACGCAGACCATCTCAACTATTTCTCTGAGTTGCTTGAAGCTAGACGTAGACAGCATACTGCTAGTCTATGATTCATGTTTAAAGTTTATACTGTTGTACGAACTTAATTGGGAACTTCCCTGTATCATAGATTTTTACAAAACAAGGGAGATCGTTTTAAAATTAAATTGAGTTAGACGCCAAGATGACGACGCTGATTAGAAAGAATCTCTGAGTAACAATATCTATCCACGTTTTCTGGTAAAAAAATGATATATTTTTACAGTTAAGAGAATCTCGATTTTCCTACGAGCCGTTGAAGCAATTTCTCGCCGGAAATGAGAAACCGGGTGCCGGTAAAGAGCAACGCAAAACTCCGTTCCTGAAAACCGTGAATGGTTATGCAATAAACAATGAATTTCCTTCAGACATACGATTAATGAATGTTACGGTAACAGTTGTTGTTGTTTTTTTAGATTGAAAAAGCTTATAATACGGATAGGCTATATATTTTAATGGCTGTCAATTTAAAACGAACCTGTGAATCGTTATGCTGAGGTTGTATAAAAACAAGAGAGCAACGCTCAAATATATGGACACGTGGACTAGAGCGAAGCAGGGTTTACCTTTGACGTTACCGGTACCGTACCCTCAAAAAGTTCTAGGTTTTCAGTCGCAAGAATTTTCACAGTCAGCCGTCACGCTTGGCGGATTAAAAACCGTGTTCCCATAATTAAAAATTATTACAGCGCAATTTTGGATGAAATATTAGATCTCATAAGATTCATAGAAAATTCAGGAATAAATGAAAGTAATAGCCTTCTGGCAAAAAAATCAATCTTGAACCACTGAAAATTCCAAAGCAATTGGTCCAGTATTCGAAGAGAAAAGCGATTTTTTAATGATAATGACGAAAGAAAATAACAATACCAAAAAAATTTTGAAACGATCGTTATGGCCACTAAACGTGTCCAATAACCTTTCCCTATAACTAATGGACGTTTTCCCTGACCCTTGACCCCAAAAAATTCTTCCAGCACTTTACTATTGAAAAAAATGTTATGCTTAATCTAAGGCGCTGCAGAATTCATAGTAGGCTATGTTACCTTAATTTTTGATTGATATTTCTACAGCTGGAAGTCGTTTGATGTCGCTATTGCTGTTTCTTCCGCCTCCGCATTTTCCTTTTTCTCAACCAATTCCTTGATCGGTGACGTCTGCCGATCCGACAGCGCTCGAGAATGCTTTAAATACTTCGTGGTGATTTGATTTTTCTTGACAGAAACATCAAAAGCTCCGACTTTTTGGAACGCGTTCCCTTCAGATTGTTTTACGTCTCTGTAAGGCCGTAATTTTATTCCAATTTTCTTTATTTTGGTCCTATTTCGAGTTCGGGGACTAGCCAAGTGACTACCGTAGTATTTGTACCTGAAATTATGGCCTAACCCTAACCTGGTACACATACTACGTTCCGGTGTCCGTCATCTTGGTTCACATACTACAGGAGTACCTAATTTAAATCTAAACATATGATTTGATAATGCACAATAACTTTCTACCCGCAGTTGTCCGGGTGACCGTGTGGTCTGAGGCGCCAGACTCAAGTGTCTGTGTTTTGGAAAGTTGTCGCTTACAAACCGGTTTACATGTTCAAAACTATCATTTTTATTAAAATAACTCAACCCGGATACTCGAGAAAACATTCATTGCGTTCGAGAAGTACTCAGAATATAAGTTGCTAGGAGCCTATTACCTCTATCCTAATGGGCCCGACAATTCACACCGAATTTTTCTTTTTTCTTATTATTCACGGACACACAAGCTTGTCCATGGGACATATTTTTCTGTCCCATTCCCACCCCATAGCAATTATGCCTGTCCCATCTCATGGAATTTCCATTGGAAGAAAATTCCATAAAAATTGTTGAATTTAGGCTTAGCGTCTACTAAATAGGACTACATGTACGAATAGACATGCAAAACAACAAAATTCACGGACTTTGTTAACTTTATATTCATAACTATTATATATACATGTGTCCATCAGCCCCTTCTCTAAATATATTTTTAATGCTGAATATATTTTGCTCTTTATAACTAACAAGAGAGCTATGCTTAAATATATTGAAGTCCACGAAGTCCATACGAAATGTTTTACCATTATTTCCCCGAAAATCATACGGTTTTCGTGTCCCACGTGAAATACAAATGTGTGCTGTTCCATCCCACCCCATTCCCATGGACAAGCCTGCGGACACACCTTCATATGGAATCCGGTACAATCCTCTAATTAAACACTTGGCTGGAATTTCACCAAGAGTGCGGTGGCTATATCAGTGAATTGACTTTCGGTCGTAATTAACCTCACGACAATCTTTCTATCGATAGATTGACAACTCAGCATATTTCGTCAACCATTGGAGCCTTTTCTTATGTCCCACACTACATGTTGTCCTATATATGTAGAAATGTTCATAGATATATGCGTAAAATAAATTTGATTTTCATGCTCATTATTTTCATTTCATCTAACAGGTACCTCCAAATCAAAAGCATTTTAACACCCCTGACCCTCGTTTCGCACACTCATTCAACTCTTCTCCTTTCCGTGCTAGTGCAAAGCAAAGTTATCCAAATTTTCCAAAAGTCCCAACTTTTCGACAGTTACGCTCGAATAAAGAAACGCGGGAAAAGGACCGATTACACACAAAAACGTCACAGCCACCAAGTGGAGAACCAGCACAAGTGCAGTACAATTTATCGCCATCTAGCGGAGTAAAAAATGACAGTGAAAATGGACGAAAAACTGAATTCAGTTTGCCGTTCATATCTTTACACATGCAAGACGGTGAATCAGCCCCACCGTTATCCACTGAAGAACAAAAAAGAGTCGCAAAACGGAAAATTTTTACACAACCTGTAGAAAACCAATCTAAGCGCCCACAAAGAGCAACGAGGCCGAGAGTGTGGCGTCCGCAACCACAAGTGGGCAGTCGAACAGCAAATGGAGTAAAACTTACACCGACAGGAAAAGCTCATCTAATCGGTCCAATGAATAAAATGGACATGATCGTTGAATATAGCAAGTTACTACAGAACAAAGTTATAAACTATGAGCAATATGTCAACAAATTGTCCAAACTTTCGTTACACAAAATTGATCTGGGAAACAGCGGACTTAGGCATTATCATATAGTAAGGTGCGACTTGTTTTTCGTGATTTGTTAGAATAGAAAGCAATGAATTGGGTACTCCCGTAATGTTTCTACCAGGTTAGGGTTAGGCCATAATTTTATTCCAATTTTCCTTATTTTAGTTCTATTACGAGTTCGGGAACTGTCTGTGTTAGCCAAGTTAATATGCTCATAGGTTTCAGTCCTTTTATACAACTTGATGTAAAATAGGCGAACAAAATTATTTACCTCCATATTGGTACACATACTTCTGGAGCGCCGAATTGTGTATGCCTCAACTGAGCTTATAATCGAGACGTCTAAATTTGAGATCATATCGTAAGGTGATGCGTCATTTTTGGGGAATCATTTTTTTTTATTAGGCTTATATATAAGTAATGAATCCCTCAACTGAATTTGAACTAGGGAAATCCAAATTTGCGAATCTTTTTGTGTTTTAATGTTATCTAGTATATAGAAGGCTTGATGTTTCGAATGTCGTGCAACTGTTAACGTGTTTATTCATACATTCAGAGATGATTCAACTGGAATGAAACATCGACTTGCTCGTGTAGATATCTACCCGTCACAAAATGTCTCAGCAGAACATGAAAACATTCCATCATCTCATGATAAAATGCTGTCCAGATCCAACAAAAATAAACGTTCTTACAGATGGACGGATAATTCTGAAAAAGGTGACGATTTTTATGTATTTTACGATTTCTATCACTCGTGCGCCACTGATAACGGCGAACAACTACTGATGAGTAAAGAGCCATCATTTTGACACCGTCGGGATATTTTTGGTTCGGCACATACATAGCCCAAATGAATAAACCGTTTGCGAGAGATGCGACACGATTTTTCGATTGGCTCGTATAAATTTTTGTTTTACACTAAACATACTTGGGTGATGCCCAGACTACTTAACCCAAGATTCGCAGTATGTCCTTATTATGTTTCAAAATTTTACATAAATCATCATTCAGATAATTATGAAACTAAATTTAATTAACACAGAAAATATTTTGTTATTTTTACATGTAAGTTCATAATCTAAATTCTTAAAGTTAAGCACACTATACAGTCGTTGAAGGATTGCTAAAATCAAAACATTTTCTCTTTTTACAGACAAAACTGATTATCATCGCGTATCCACTGTTGGGCAAAGCCGTGCTGGAGTATCAACTTCATTTGGAGGACAAAGCAACAATCCGTACGACACCTCTTCCCCTTATAAGAACAGTCAACTCCGCATGAGCCGGGTTTCTATTGGAGAAGGCATATCTGAGTCTCAGTACGAACATTACAATACTGGGTATGACGTAGGCAATGACGAATATTTGACCTACGATGACGTCATAAGATTGCAAGGAACCGATATGGACAGATATCGCCATGTACATCGGCCCCATCCTAATGAAAAGCTTAATTATAACTGGTCACACGTCCCACCTAACACAAGCATGGGCCGTTCAGGAAACATGATAGGCGCCCAAGGAATGTCGAGACACATGAATCCTAGTCACGAACTATACAAAGGCAACTCAGGGAAACTTTTACCAAATTCGCGTGAGATCAAAAAACGTTTGAATTTCTCTTACCCATCTTACAACTATGCGGTCGATGGGTCGGCTCAACCCACTGGAGGAGATCCGGAGAGAACGGTAACACAAGCAAATGACAAATTGGGGGAAGGTAAATAGGACTTTTATATATATTTTTTAGGAGTAAATTCCTCAGCCTTCATCTATGAAGAGCACTAATGGAAAGTGTCGGTTATAATAAATCTATAATCATCCATGAGAACCCTCATTCAGGTGATGAAAAGGGCGGTACTACCATATAATATACCTAGAAATTTTAAGTTGTCCTTCGACACACCTGTTTGGAACTTTGTTCGACAAAAATAATTCATACAATCTCATCAAGTTGACATTTGTACTTTCAACCTGATCCTAACCGTGCAGAGAGACAGTTATGATCAGCTTTCAGTGGCGTATGTATGTATACTGCTGTTACTCCAGTATTTCTACACTTTCTTTGCAAAAACCTTATGACTGCTGATATTAATGCATCTATTTCCAGATCCAAGCCATGACCCCGATTACCTGGCAATCACTCTTGATCAACGAACTGAGAAAGCACCTTCGCCGGAACCACTTACAGTGACGTCATCACTTTCAGTTCATGACGTCACAATTCCAACCGAAGTAAAAGTCATCACTAGCGCAATGCCTCAGAAAAACAGTGGTATCCAAAGAAAAGGTCTAACATTGGGAAACAAAGACCCGGTCGTAAAAGAGACAAGTTCGAGTCCTTTCAAAGGCGCTTTTGACATTTTGAACATTACTCCTGTAGCTATTACGAGCTCAAGTGCCGTTAACCCTAGTCCAGGCAGCAACAAAACTCCTTATTACGTTTCCCAAGATGATTTTGCGGCTACCGGTACGGATGGGGTTCTACAGTCGCATCTGAGCACAATATACAAATCCATAAGCAAAGCCAAGTCCAAAAAAGGCGAGCCCGTAATTCAACAACCGTCTCATCCTGGTAAAAACTCACCACCTGACGTTCATATAACGAAAATGACATCTACGAAAAGCTCTCTATCTCCAGAAATTGAAAAAACTGTAACAGAAAACGCGAAATTGCTTCAGCCAAACGAAAGGTTACCGCCACCGAACACACCACCACCAAAACTGATGCAGGCTAATGAAGAAGCAACACCTGCCGAGCCACAGATCCGAACTTTAGTCGTGCCGGAGAAAAAGGGAAGTGTTACGTCACAATCGTCTTCTTCGTCAGGCGTGTCTTCAACGCTTTCAGTTCCAGACATCCCATTGGCTGGTTCTCCTCCCCCCACAGCGTACCTTATACAATCCAGAGAAGACGAAATTACTAGCGCCGAAAGTGACGACGGCCTGAATGACTTTGCTGACGTCATCACCGTGAACGTAACAAATGCACAAAATAACGACAGCGCCCCTAGTGACGAAAATTTGAATCTGGTAACCCTCATGGTCCCGACGAGTGGAGTAACCGCCAATGAAATGAATGAAAAACTACAAACTCCGGCAGAGGTTGCGATTACCACATAAAAACTATCTGCCTTCTCGTTGCAGATGTGCACGTACAACTTGTGTATATCATGTACGGTTTTTTATATCGCAGTATGAAGAAATGTTGATTGTCTTGCTACTATTCCACGCAAAATTTCTCAACTATCAATATGAAATACGAAAGATTTTTTTTTATATTTTCTATAGTCGTTTCTTCAAAGAACTAGAAGCGTTTAGGGTCAATATTGCTTTTTCTATTTATTGCGTCCGAAGTGAGATGCTGAGATGGAGACTGAACTCGATTGAAAACCGATGTAAAAGCGTCCAACTACCAAGCAGTACATGTAGCGATCTTGTTACTGCCTGTTATTTCTGACAGCGTTCTGATCAGGGCGTAGCCAAGAATTTGGAGGTTTTTGAAATTGATAATTCTCAAATTAGACCGTAACAGCTATCAGGTCTGGTCGGTGGCCGGAAAACATGGGTTTTGAAGAATGTTGAGGGTCTAAAACGCGTAACAAAAACTGTGCTTTGTATGATACAGGAAAGTGCGCTTTTCATCATTTTGAGGGGGTGGGGGGCGTTTGAGGGGCGGAACCCCACTGGCTTCGCCCCGAACCATTGAACCAGAGTCAACAGATTGAATATTTACTTTCAATTATCATAAAGTGATCATGTACTTTCTTGCCATATTATTTTGTTTTCATTGTTTTTTGCGCTTATAACATACTATAATATAAATTTGCTGTATATATATTATAATTGATGATAAAACTACACGCTAAATGAATTTATGATTTAGTTATTGTTTTTGATTAATTTAGCCTATGCCAAGTTTAACTTCTGAACGGATCAACTCAGAGATTTTGAGAGAAAGATTAAAGACAATTATTCTCCACGATGTGTAATTTCTAAGTATACCTTTGAAGTTGACGAAAGACTCTTTGAATAAGCAAGTTAATCTCGATCAAACAACGAAAGTCACGCTCACAAAGGCCGAACGCCATGCCCACTTGCTATATATACAAAATATATACTTCAAGACAAAACTATGTTTGGATTTGAGCAATTTGCAACGTTAGAATTTGTTCTTACTTGTATCTATGTTACTGGTATGTAATGTCAAAATTGAGTACGTACTGTGAGAATTTAAATTGACAAGTTTTTTAACCTGTTCAAGTTTACTTTTGGAATATGGTTCGTCATATGGTTAAGCTGTCTTAGCGGCCTTCTTCCTCCCCGGGATAAATATATAACTCCGTATAGGTTTCGTTAGATACTTGTCAGTTTTCAGCTGTGCTTACGAAATTAAGGTATGAAGCAGTTAACGCAATGAACATCCATTGGAGGCTTCTAATACGTAACTTTCCATATTCTTACGTGTATCTATCTCCCTGTACACGTTCACTTTTTGAATAGATCGGCGCAAGAGTTTTTGAAAGGAAAGTGACAAATAACGAAGACATATTTTAGAAAATCTTACAATATGTCTCAGTTTCAATTTATGGTTTATACAACTATCATAAATAAGAGAATCATTCAAATCCAAGATCCTGCAGTTCATTTTATTGCATATACGAGTCGATGCGACGAGCCAAGTTGCGTTAAAGCCACATGTAATGAACTGAAAGTAAATGTAGAACCCCAACACAAATATATATTATAATATTCTGAATGAAATCTCACAATAGCGGGAAACGAAATAAATTATTAATTCTCTATTACACACAGTGGGAGCGAAAAAACAAGTCTACGATGTAAATTAAATCTAAAAAATCACGGGATTTGTCCATTCACTACGATTTCTCTATTTAGTCGAGTTGTTCTTTTTATGGGGCCCGAACCCCGTGACCCCAGTGCCTTTAATCTTCCTCCTATCTATAGCAGATAAGTTCAGATGTTTCGATCCTCAATTGTGAGTGCACTGAGATGTTAGTTAAATTTTCGGTTCTTTTTAGTAGTGCTCAAGGCAAAATCTCGCGAAGTTTTCAGGTGCACATGCATATTTCAGTTAGTTTAAGATGTGTTGGAGTTCGAGATGTAATAGCATAGAATTAGAAAAAGGAATAAACCGCGAGAGATAGTTGAGTGATGATGTGGTCGAAAGTTGAATGCGGTAGACATAGAAAAGAGAGTTTTTTGTTCAACTTCGTCGCGAGTTCTCTGTGTCGTCGAGTAATAATCCATTTTTGCGGGGCTAACTCCTCAGTACATCGAATCTATTTATTACAGTGGAATCTGGATGTATCAGCGTTAGAGAGTTGAATGCGGTAGACGAAGGATTTTCAGTAGTGGGCTGCATGCTAATATATTGATATGGAGAAGTTGATTTTCAAAATCGTGATAGTCGAGGAAAAGATTTTTGTCTTGTACACTTTTTGTAATGCAGACGCAGCGCGAGGCTTTCAGCAGTTAAATTTGTTCGAAATGTACGACTTGTGTTGACAAGCAACCCAGTAAAGATACGAGAATTCTTTTTAGTAATTTCAACCGTTCTGGGCGCTATCAAAATAGGGACGTATTATTCGTATAAAATCTGTTTTGGGTGATAATTTTCCAAACCATTGAATCGTATAATATTAGTTGATACTTTATTTGTCATTATTCATCATTCGTTCTATGAAAACCTTAAGCAATGCTTGTTGAATATATAACCGTATTCAAAATGTGGGTATTTCTATCATTTGCTTCCTAGTTTAAGTGACAAAGATACCGACCACCGTGCTTCCCTAGCCGCAGGGTCGGCATAAGGCCACTGCTACCTACCGCGACCACAATGGGCCTTGCACTTCTATAATGCCCCGCGCAGATTCAAAACGGAAATTATTATATTTATGCAGACTCGCAAAGTATAATTACTTTAATCATGATTTTTTATTTCTTTAAATGGTAATAAATATGAAACCTTGGGCAATTCTCAGTTGCTACTCGGACTGGATCCACAAAGTCCATTAGCATATAGGCGGTGTTATTTTGTATCGAGCCCTGAAAATTAAGAACGACGAAAAATAATAGCTTGAAAATGAATATCGAGGCACATCCTCCCTTGAATAATAGGACATCCGGCCCTGATTGAGGCCTTCTCTGCCTAACCGAAATAGCGATCTTTCAACCTTCATCATTTTATGACGTTTTGGCGTCACATAGAAATTAATATGCAATTATGAAAATTAGCGTGTCTCTGATATTCCATATGATATATTTGTGCTGTCAAGTATACCTCAGTTACTTTATTATGTTTTATTATTGATAGTCATTATACCATCAACGGTTCATATTCTCTTAAAGAAACTAAACGCTGTTAAAAACGAAATTATTAAACTATATATATTGTTAAACTTTAATGCGATGTGTCAAGTATATTTCGTATCGTAACAATAATGGCTGATTTTTTATAAACAGTTTCTATACAGTGAAAGAGCTTCGATTTCTTTGTGTAAACTACTTGTAAAGTTGTAACTTGTAGCATACATTTTTTTCTAGGTAATCTGCGACTCGCGTTCAATCCGCCAAATACAAGGTTTCCATTTTCATTCTAACAACTATTTAAGTTTTGTTTTACAAATCCTTGTCCTGAGCTAATGTATTATGCATAGTGGCATTGCTTAGTTTTTTGTTTTGTTGAGATCTTAACTTAAAGTAAAACACAGGATTTAAAGGACAGCGTGTAATACGCATCTGCTTATTATATTTCACGGTGTAAACTGGGGAAAGTACAAGTCAAAGATGAGTGACCTAAAACGACTTGTCGGATTTTTGATTAGCATCATATATACCTTAAATTTCAAAGTGCGATAAGACCGATTATTTTATCATAGTGTAACTAGGGCGCTCCAGAAGTGTGTACCAATATGGAGGTAACTAATTTTGTTCGCCTACTTTACATCAAGTTGTGTAAGGGGACTGTAACCTATGGACATGGGGTACATTCACTTGGCTAACACAGACAGTCTCTGAACTCGTAATAGAACTAAAATAAAAGAAATCGGAATAAAATTATGCCCTAATCCTAACCTGGTACACGGGAGTACCGATTTTTTATTATTATGGTGTAACTATTTTTTTTGTAATACATCAACACTTATCAATTTTATTTGGTAATATACTTAAGGTCGGAACTTCAATAGGGTCCCATCGACGTTTTGGGTAAGCGCGTTTTGAACACCTCAAAAGATGAATTGAAAATTTGCGTTATAGTGACATACATAAATGAGAAAATAACGCAAATTTCATCAAACTAGCGTTTTAATGATATTTTATGGTCAATGTTTCCATTTGACTTTATTATTTGACATCCATTTGGTTTATTATTTTGCCTTTATTATTCTTTACTCTATAAATTGGTGCCAAGGGTTAGTTTTTAATTCTTCCAATTGTTATCTTAAGTCGGCCATTGTGGGCGTGGCTTTCGTCGTTGGATCGAGATTCACTTGCTTATTGAAACATTGTCTATCATCGCTGATAGTAAATTCACAGTTTAATCGCCTATAATGCCTGGCCGAACATAAAGAAAAATTATTACATCAAAATACCTTTTATGCAAAGACGTCTCACCATTACGATAAAAATTAAATATTTAACGATTTTTCTGAAACTATGTCTGCTATATTTTTGTATTATGAGTGATATATTATCAATAAAACATTTGTACCCCAGCATTACTCATCTCGACTAGGATCCCTTAGGTCATATGTACCTGTCACGGTTTACACCAAAGCACGTTATTATGTAAATATACCGGCAGTTTTTATGATATACAGGGTGTCCATAAAGTCTTAAAATTGCAAAGGGAATTTATCGATACCATATATTGCTTTGCCCCTCAAAGACGTAATAAATGAACTAAAAATACTTGAACAATTACTGATTAAAAAACAACAAGATATATTGAGAACTTACTTTATAACAAAATTGTAAAGGGACTTTATGTACACCCTCTATTGCCGGAATATCTCTTTAAGAAAGAGCGCAGTTTATCTTTTTCATTAAAATGCTCTCGTTCGCGATTTAACGCACGGCGCAAGTATTTTAAAGTTTAACATGTTCTATTTTCGCACAAACTATATTATCTACTAGTATCACTCATGTTTCCCACAACTGGAAGCAGCTATCATAATCATATCCGTCTAAAACAGTGGTTCTCAAACTTTTTAAGCCGAGCCCTCTTTTTAGAATATGTCAAGTTTTGCGCCCCACCATAAAAAAATAACTAGCTAACAATAAACTACAAATGACATATAGTAAGGCGAAAGTATGTTTATTAGATAAAAAAAAAACGTTAGAAATACGTGGATGGAACGTAAATAATGAAATGAAGAAATGTAAATATCCAACATAGATCAAATTCAACAAATATTTATGTTTTTAATTAGCTTCAATCTCCCTCAAAA